TCATCTACATACAGTAGGGTGTACACTAATCATGACCATGTCCTGGAGGGACTGGTAGATCACTAGAGGAAACAGAAAAGAAAAAAAAACCATCGGACGAATGCAACGCCGTCTAGATTCGATGTACACAATCTTCGGTCATGCCCATGCCGTTGTGCCGTTCTAGAATAGTCTCCAATATTCTCTTCATGGCTCGAATGCTTCGCTGGTCAGGTTTCCGGAGCTTAGGGGGTGGAAAAGAAATAAAAATGCGCATCAAGGTTGGAATAACTGGGTATATGCGGGATAAGGGTGGGTGGGAACAACGTCTCCATATCTCGTCCCAACTTGAAAGCTTCTGGGGCAGCAGATCGTCCGAACACGGCCCTTGAGCCATTTCGACGGATTTCCCATCAGGCCATTGCAGTGACCCATGAATCGAACTGGAAGACCTCTCTCTGACAAGCAGTTCGGGCACCGTCAGGATCGAGTTGCACCGAGAATGGCTTACTTACAGACACGCTCGTTTTTGTCTCTGTCAATGTTTCGCCCAACGCTATGGAAAGAATTCCAATGACGATGGACCGTGTTTTCCTCTAGCAAGCGCACGAGTCACCGCGAATTCGCCCCCCGAGCTAAGCGTGCCAAGCGCTTGACGCAGCAGCTGCTGGAAGAAGCTGTGGAATATTCTCCGGAAAAGCACACCTAGCACCCAAAGAGATTTTAGCGGATCGACCTGGCTTTGCCAGCCCTTGACTCGGCTATTAATAGGATAAGGTTCATCGGCGTTATCGAGAGCGACGCTGGGCTGGCGTCAGTTTCACTTTGATGGACCCTTGACTGGGAGCAAGTGACCGACTTTTTAGCGTCCTTGACTCTCTGTTTTTTCTTGTCGCCTCTCTCTCTCTTCTCTGGTCGCCTTGTTGGCCGTTTCGTTTATGTAAAATGTGTTGATCGGTCGGGAAACGGATTACCTTTCGCTTACCTAGCCCCGGAGGCTCTGCCTTGAGCAAGAGTTACATGCTACGTTACGGCGCTTGGCCCATACCGTTTAGCCGTTTGCCTCCCGGGGAGTTAGACTCTTCGCAGCTCCTCAGCCATGTCGCCATGAGGAAAGCCAAGACGAGTCCCAAAGAGACGGCTCCTGTCTAAAATGCCTAAAATGTCTGAAAATAGGGGACGTGGGGCAGCCGGTCGTTTGTTTGTGACATCACTGCCCACCTCTGCCCTATGTTAAGGCACCAGATGGTATGTGCTGGTCACAGCATAACACGACAGATATTGGTCTGGCAACTCTGGGTGGCTGGGGGGCGCAGCTTTGTGGTTGAGTTTGTGTGCGATTCAGCAGGACCAGCCACCGCCAGCCTCTCGCTCTCAGCTCTGCCTCTTTTCTTCTCTCTTCTTTTTTCCCCATCTTTCTGTTATTGTGTCGAATAGGGACCACCGGTTCATCCATCATCCATGACAATGGCTGTGCTAAATAGAGAACCGAACCAATCGGCATCCTCACCTTCTCCTTGGCCGACTCCGTCCTCCCGAGGCCGCCGGTTGTGGCGCTTTCAACTTCTCCATCCACACACACACTTTGTTAGTAAACGTGCAGAGACCGAGGTGCGACGGTCAACCAAAATCTCGGGGTAGAAGCAACGGGTTTCGCGGGCGGCGCAGACGGCAGCGCTAGGAGGCGGGATGCCGCATCGCCAAGTCTCTCCGAGGGTACCATGCCATGTCACTCACCCTCGCCTCCCCTTGCGAGGCGGCTCCTCTCGTATTTGTCCGCGACTCCACTGCGAACCACAGGAGGCAGGGCTCATGATGTCAATCAGGCTCCGCAGGTATCCCTGGCCGGCATTACGAGAAGATCTTCGCCCCGGCAGTGCACACACTCAACTTTGGGCACTGGTTGGACTGGCGCAACCAACGCGACCTCGCTTTCTGCACCCCGTGATTACGAGATGATCATCGAAACGGGGTCCCCTGGACTCCTAGAGCTTTCTGGTGGCACCGCAGCAACCAGCATTCTGTGATGGTCAACCCGAGATATAAGACGAGCGACGGATCCCCTCCTCAGGAAACTTTTAGAACACTCATCTCACCACATTCAACAACCAGCAATCTTAATCACAAAGTAATCATCCGACCACATCAGTCTTTAAACCCACAGTCACTTCAAACACAGCCATCAAAATGCAGTTCACCAACGCCCTCGCCGTTGCGGCCTCCCTCATCACCGCCGTCTCCGGCGCCGCGGTTCCCCAGCTCATCACCCGCCAGAACAACGGCACCACAAACGGCACCGCCCCCGGCCTGCCCGCCGACGCAAAGTTCCAGCTCATGGCCCTCCGCTCCGCCAGCGAAGTTCACTTCTCTACCTTCCAGGCCGCCAAGAGCTCCATCTTCCTCCAGCTCCCCAACCAGAACGCCACCTGCGACAGCACCGAGGATGACGACTCGGCCACCTTCTACCTGAACCAGGACGACGGCGGCCTCTACCTCTACGCCGCCTCCGCCACCCCGCAGCAGCTCTACGCCGACCGCTCCGGCATGGGCCAGGGCAAGCTCGGCTACACCACCGGCGCCCAGCCCGCGCCCCGCAACGGCGAGCGCACCGGCTGGAAGGTTGACCAGTATGGCGACCTTACCCTCGACGGCGCCAGCTTCCTGGCCTGCCCCAACAGCATCGAGGACAGCTGGTCCGTCTGGATCTCTTCCGGTGTCGCCAACCCTGCCGGCAACACTGACTGCCTTGGCATTGCTGTCCGCGCCGTCCAGATCACCGACCCCAACAGCTGCAGTTACACTTCCTAAGCGGTTGATTGGTCTGTTTGATTTCTTCCCCTTTCACACATTTCTCATCAAATTGGCATCGGTATAAAGGCATTGGGACTACCCGGGTATATCCATAGAATGGCGAACACTTGCATTTGTGGCATAGCAATGTCATCACGGTCACTCCGTTGTTGGCACCTGTATATTGTACTGCAGAAGGATTTGCCTTCTGTGAACATGAATTAATATGTCATTTTCAACTTTACTACTCTATCTTCCCGGTGACTTATCGTGATCTTGAAACATTGTTCTTGTGAAGGATATTCAGCGCTCACCAACTCATCCGGCTACTGTTCGACGATAAGATCAGAAAGAAAGAATTGGTGACTTTGCATCCATGAGCAACCCGAAGCTGGGTATGGCCGTCAGGCTTGCCAGAGTGGTTAGATTGTCCTGCTTCGGATAATTCTCACAAGCGGACCACGACCAAATTGTCAATCCAGTGGGAATCCAGTTTTGTGTGTCTGCTTTCCTTTCTCCCTTCGCATTGCGACCATATCGAAAACGTCCATGCTATTGGTACGAGATTATCAGTCATTAGGATTATTATCGTATGTTTCTACACTGCTTCACGTCCGCTGCTAGCCCTCCACGGCAGCGATACCCTCCTTATCGCCTTCCAGTGCGGCCTTGTTGAACTCTGGATCATTCGTCGGCAGCTCAACGTGCCACTTTGAAATTTGCGCGGCACCAATCTCGACTTCGCCGTCCGTGCCAAAAGACAGGATGTGTCCGCCCTGAGTCCGGTCCTCAGTGATGAAGTGAAGATGATCGCCGGCTACACTGATGCCCATGGTATACTCTGGTGATCTGAAGCCAACAACAGTTCCCCGCACCGGCTTCTCAAAGGTGTGCGACGCCTGGTGCTTGCCGACCTCAACCAGGCTCTCGCCGGGTTTACTCTGGCCGCCGGCAGTCCGCACCGTAATACCCTTGAAGACACCCTCGATCCTGATGGCGAGGAAGAAGTTTTTCGAGTCGGGGAAGTCCTGTGAGAGGTGCTCAAAGAGCTCCTTCTTGTTGTTGAACGCGGCCTTGATGGTGGCTGTGGGCTGGAAGCGGGTGACCATGGCGAAGGGGGCGACAGCATCGGAGGCCGGGCTCGTGTCGATTGGGGTCACGGTGTTATCTGACTTCATTTGATAGAGCTTTCCGTCGAGGATGATCATTTCGCCGACCATGTAGCGAAATGTTCCCAGGCCTTGGTTTCCGTGGGAGATGAGTTCTGATACCGGTAGGCCCTTGGAGGCGACGCCGTCCATAAGAGCCGAGATGATGGAGTACTGGAATATTTCATTGACCGCCATGGTGTCTGATATGGTTTACCGGTGTTCTCGTTGTTGCTGAGCGTGAAATCGAGTTCTTAGGGTATCGGAAGTAGGACTGAAATGAGCTGCAGTTGCCAAACGAGAAGGGGTGGTCACGGAAAGTGAGACGATGAATGAGGTGGTGGTGAGTGAAGGTTTGGGGTTCCCTTGAGTTTGGCCACGAAAGCGGCCCGCTATTGCTGACTGCTCACTGCAGAGCAGAAGGAGCACACCTGCCCACGCGCCTGCCCTCCGTCCACCGGATCGGAGGCGTCGGGAGGCTACGGAAGGCGGCTCCGGGACAAGCGCAGGCGGGACCTTCCTGAGTTTCAGCGAACGGAAGCTGCGAATGTGTGGCTCTTTCCTGGGTTTAATGGTTGAGTCATCAAGGTCCATCACAGTGAAGTGGGAATTGGAAGGCGCCGCTTTGGGTCCCACTGCTCCGAGGAGGGCGCTGACGTCAGTCGCACGGCATCACCGGCCACATCACCGCCTCGCTCTTTCGGTCTTTGAACTTTGGTGTCTCTTGCTCCTCAACAACTCAGATCTCACCGAATGACGGCCAAGCGCTAGGAAACTTTGCGGCATTACAATATCCACCTTTTCTCTCTCCATCTCCGCCTCTCGCCGATATCGTGATCGCGAACGTGAAGCTCAAGTTCCTGCTTTTGCTCATGACCACTTGATCTTTTCTCATTCTTGCAGGGCCCTTTGCAATTGACGCAAACAGGCTCCCTTATACCCTCAGCATTCCTTGCCCAGCTAAACCCGACAGGATCAGACACACCTAATGCTTCACTTCTATTCATCCTAATCAGGAGTGAATCAGAATCGTGCTCTCTGCATTGACTCGATACCACGCTCAAATACGCTCACGATCATTCAATGTCTTCAGAAACAGTAGATGTCGTGATCGACTCTCTTGTCGCCGCCGGCGTCAAACACATCTTTGGTGTTCCGGGCGCCAAGATCGATAGCGTCTTCAATGCCCTAATTGACCGCCCCGAGATCCAGCTGGTCGTCTGCCGTCATGAGCAGAATGCCGCTTTCATCGCCGGAGCGATCGGCAGGATCACAGGCCGACCCGGTGTGTGCATTGCCACCTCCGGCCCGGGAACTAGCAACCTTGTCACCGGCCTCGTGACCGCCAACGATGAGGGTGCACCCGTTGTTGCCATTGTCGGCGATGTCAAACGGGTGCAGGCTGCCAAGAAGACACATCAGAGCTTGAGGGGCGTTCAACTACTCGAGCCCGTCACGAAAAAGACCACTGGCGCCGTGCATCCCGATCAGATCTCGGAGATTATGCTCGATGCCTTCAGAACCGCCACGGCGTACCCGCAGGGTGCAACAGCTATCAGCCTACCAATCGATATCATGACAGTCGGAACCAAGACTTCTATCCCTGCGCTGCCCCCGAGCGCCTTCACGCCGCCTCAGTATGGCACGTCACCGTCAGCGTCACTGAGCAGGGCGGCAGCCATGATCCAAAATGCAAAGTTCCCAGTCCTGTTCCTAGGGTCAAGGGCAGCAACACCAGATGCCGTCGAAGCTGTCCACGGTTTCCTCCGCAAGCACCCCATCCCCGTCGTCGAAACCTTCCAGGCCGCGGGTTCCATCAGCCAGGAGCTCGCTCATCTCTTCTACGGCCGCATCGGCCTCTTCCGCAACCAACCCGGCGATAAGCTATTGTCCCAGGCTGATCTCGTCATCGTTGCAGGTTACGATCAATCCGAATATGACGCCGACGCCTGGCATAAGAGCCAAAACCTTGAGATCTTGCACCTGGATTGGATTCCCGCCGACTATGGAGCCTTCTATAACCCAAAACTCGAACTGGTGGGCGCCATCGCCGCCAATGTCAAGGCGCTGGGCGACATCCTGGCAAACGTCTCCCGCCCGCAGGAATCCGAGATAGCAAAGTCCATTTTCACAGAATTCCACGCTTGGGAACAGAGCCCCCAGGCTCTGGGCCAGACCGGCGACGGTCCTGTGCACCCTCTCTACTTCATTAAGCTCATGCAGGGTCTGTTGCCCTCATTGACGACTTTGACATCGGACGTCGGCAGCATGTACATCTGGCTGTCGCGCTTCTACTTCGCATACAGCCCCAAGTCTTTCCTCGTCTCCAACGTTCAGCAAACTCTCGGCGTGGCTCTCCCATGGGCCATTGGCGCCTCTCTAGCCCAGGAGCCGCCTTGCTCCAGAAAGGTCGTAAGCATCAGTGGCGATGGCGGCTTCCTCTACAGCGGACAGGAGCTAGTAACTGCCGTGAAGCAGGGGTGCAACATCACGCACTTCATCTGGAACGATGGAAAGTATAACATGGTGGAGTTTCAGGAAGTCGACAAGTACGGCCGCAGTTCAGGCGTCGACTTGGGCGGGGTCGACTTTGTCAAGTATGCCGAGGCATTTGGTGCCAAGGGATTGCGCGTCAGTCGTTCGTCGGAACTGGAAGCCGTCATGAAGGAGGCTTTGAGTTATCAGGGAGTCTGCATCGTCGACGTTGAGATTGACTACTCCCACAACCACGAGCTTATGAAGAATGTCATCCAGGACAATATTAGTTAGAGTTTTGTAACCTGTTTAATGAGCGAAAGAAATGTCAGACAGCCGTTGTTGCCAACTCTGCGGGTCACTGTCTCCTTAGAGGAAACTGATGAAAGTTCACTTATCCCGATTTTTACTTTGTTGGAGGGATGGCGATGCATCGTACGAACTCATGTTGCCTGCACGAAATGCAAATGACATCTCTTGGCGACGATCGAGTGTTACAGGGACGCATCGTTTGCAATTCATTCAATGTCGTCTTTTCTCGGATGCTCCGGAAAACACTCCCGGGACCACGATCCAGGTTCCCGTCACTGGACGATCCAGCGGTCTGCGTACGGATAGGCAAGGAAGATGGACTGGCAGGCATGAGCTGCTTCGATCGATTGCCGAACTCAACAGCACGCATCTAGACCATCATAATCCCTTGCCCTGGTGCGCTGGCAGACTTCAACTATTCGCTCATTCTCGCCAAGGAACTCAATGGTCTCGGACTTTGGGGTACCCGTAGTCATGCTGGATTCTTAGATTGATATTGTCCAGGTCGTAGCGGAAGAGAGCTCCCCACCCTCTCTTAATCTCAGCCCTAGGAATCGGAATCGGAATTCCTTCAGGGTCTTCATGTCGGATTCCGGACGCACGGATGCTCTTCCAGATGGACCTACATGGGGACGGGAAGACGAGGTTCGTCTGTGTCGCATCGGGAGGTGTGGAGTTTCAATGCTCTGATACGGCAGATGATATATCATGATCTATGATAGGTACAGTACATAAGGTAGAGTCAGCATCTGCAAGAGGGCCATTCTTATCTGTATCTGCCAGTCGGATACATCCTAATGCACTCACCCTTATTGCAGAATGTAGTGAATGCATGATTGCAAGGGCAAGGACAGGCTCTCTGAGGAGAGGCGGGGAGAATAGACCTACGGATGTGAAATCCGTGCCGAGCACCGAACCTTGATTTCTAAGCTGGGTGTACCATGTTTGGCTGCTTTCCCCGTAAACTCCGCCGGGAGTTCAGAGAAGAGGACTGGAGCCAAGCAATCGAGTAAGCGGGGTTGTTTCCCCCCTCCTTTCTTGAGTGTGAGGGAACAAGTTCCATCACGACATCGGTCTTTCAATGGTGCAACTTTCCGACCTCATTGTGCTACTACTGTTGCATTGGTAATCAATTATCAACACTCGATTCCTTCAAATACGCACCAACCTCACCATCGCCAGTCAATCCACCCGCAGTCCTCCAGTTGGAAAGCCAAGACATCAAGTCTCAAATTCCCGACAAACAACACAATTAGCAGCTGTCCAAATCATCGACACAGGCTTGGATCAGAAACAGAATCCTGACAATGTCTTCCGCCGCGCCCAAGATCAAGCTGTACACCAACCACGGCTGCCCATGTACGTGACATTCATTCCTAGCCTCACCCTCGTTGATTTCCGTCTCTTCGTGTCCAACCCCTCTTCCTCTCTTCGCGTAACCTCCTACCCCCGGGAGCCACGTGCAGAATTAAGCATCAAGGCATACTGCCAACCCCTCATGAAGTCTCACGACTCAAACCACCGCATCATCCTCAGAACAAATCAAAATTTACCGGCCTCAAGAGGAGGCCAAGATACACAGATAGCTAACCCCGAATTCTCAGGGGCTCACCGTGCACACATCGCCCTCGCAGAACTGGGCCTCCCTTTTGAGGAAGAAATCATCGACCTCTCGGTGCCCCGCACAAAGGATTACCTGGCCATCAACCCGCGCGGACTTGTTCCCTCCCTCTCCTACGACGGCGAAATCATCACAGAGTCCGCCATTGTCAGCCAGTTCCTCGCCGACGCTCACACGTCCCACCTCGTCCCCGCCCCGGGGAGCAAGGACGCCGCCCTGCGCCGCGCACGCATCAACTTCTTCGTCGACACCTACTTTAGCAAGGCTAACTCGTCTCTGTACAAGCTGCAGCTCGCAAAGTCGGAAGCAGAGGCGAATGAGGTTGCGGCTGGGTTCATTGACGTTATCGCCAAGGAGGTTGAGCCGCTGTTGAAGGATGCGAAGCCGTACTTTGGCGGCAGTGACAAGGTTACCTTGGCCGAGGTCCTTACAGGCTCATTCACACTGAGGCTGTTCTCGTTTGCAAACTACGAGCTCATCCCCAAGAGTATCCTGACGGCGCTGGAGGAGAAGGCGCCCAGCTTCTACAAGTGGGCGCAGACCGTCAACAGCACCCCTAGCGTCAACGGTATCTACGATGAGAAGAATGTGGTTGAGCGGACCAAGCACCGTATCGCTGCCATGAAGGCTGCGCAGGCTTGACAGGAGGGTGGTAGCCGACTTTGAAGCGGCTGTATGAACACGGCTGTTAGTCATCAAGGCATTCCGGGAAGTTTAACCAATCCCATGATATTAGCGTCACAAGTCACTTTTGAATATCACCTCACTTTGAGTTGTCAACGCAAGGACCCATGTCCCTTGGAGAAATTGGGAAAAGGCTAAATGTTTAACGAGATGTGGCTGTACAGCCCCTGGAGTCTGGTTTGAGAATGGCTTGAGTGGCCATTATCTGACCTGAGTGATAATACTTTTGACGTCCAGGAATCCTCATCAATCATCTCATCGAGGAACATGACCAGGCGTGGAAGACCTGGGTAAGGCACATTGCCCCAAGGGCATGAAGTCTTCATGGTGTGATTGAATGCCCACCCAAAGCCTCCTTCCATGCTGAGTTAATCCGAAGAATAACAGCAAAAAGGATTTCCCTCTTACTTAGAGTGATTTTGAACCTTACGCACAGATCTTCACCATCGAGATGGTGGCCAGGAATCGAGGGAACAACCCGGGCGGGACGAAGTCCGATCTCTCTTGCAAGCCTAGACCGCGGCGTCTGGTCTGCCAGGCTGCGTTATGCTTTTGCTTCACTGATTTTACCGCAGGGCCACTTACCTTCCGGCAGGCAAATCGCTGAACAGAGGATCTCTCGTACGATGATGGGCTGCTCTTTTCGGCTTTACGAGCTTGCGACTGCTCGTCTAGCTTCAAGATGACTTGTCTTACACTGCGCCCGAACAGGGTGCGAGGAGAAGGGCAGCATTTCCAAGGGCCGAAGAATGCAGGAGGGCAGAAAAATCCATATCTTACCTGCACACAATAGAATCACAGATTGAATCTCACGTCACACAGCTGCCAATGCTACATACGATCGTTTCGACATACAAAAGCACATCATGCTTTTTGACAACCGTTAAGAGATTTCGCCTGATTTCTTCGCGCTCGAGATTCCGTCACATCACCCGCAGCGGAACGCATCTCGCCCGAACGGAGATTCTTACCGATTAGTAGTCTCTCCGAACCAGAAGATTCAAATCTTCGGCTCAAAAGAGTGCTTGGATACAGATTGTCTCCCACTTACCGACGGGAGACTCGAGAGGACGGACGCGTCTTGTTGAGAGGATCAGATCAGACTGGTCGCGAAGGGTTTGAAGGTGGTGGTCTAAGACTTTGGTTCTGGAAGAAACAAAGAATACGAGATGGAGGGCCGAGTACGTTGAGAAGCTTTTGCTGGTCTTTGCCTGGTCTTTTGCTGATGGTGTGTACTGCTAACTCGATTGCCACAGATGAGTCAATTTAGCTCCCATCCCAGATGAAAACTGACTGGATTTCTGTTAGGCAGTGCCTAAACAGAAGAGACACACATGATTCAGTCTTGCGGGTAGCTAGCATCTGCCGTGGCGGGGGCGATTGGGGAGGTTGCTCGTCCGCTGTCAATCAAGTCTCGAACAAGGTAGGCAGATAGACCAGCACCTACACCAAACTCGAACCACCGTTGAGGTCACCTTAGGCCTAACATGCTCGTCAGAAAGAACATCTGAGAGGGCGAGAGGGATCTATAGAGTTCGAGAACAGACATTGAGGAGCACAGAGAAAAGGGCGGGAGTGAAAGAGGAATGGGCGGAGTCTAAATAGAGTTTGGCTGCTTAGACTCAAACGGGACAACCACTGAACCACAGACCAAACGCTTTCCCCTCACTTCCTCACGAAGCAGCTTTTTCTGCAACAAATGTGGCTGATTGGAACGAATGAGAGGGCGCTGTGTATGCTGGCCAGCCCTTCTCGAAGACGGCTTCGAAACGCTCGAGCTGTGTGAAACATCACAGCGTACATCCCGGAGCAGCAGCCGGTTAGGGACAAGGGTCGCGAAGGGGCGGGGGACCATTGGCCGAGCCACTCGGTGCCCGGAGCACTAGCAACATGGACTACCAGCTAGAACCTGAACGGTCGTTTTTCGTTTCCTTCTGGCCCCCCAATGACACAGACTCTGTGGCCCTGCGTTCCTGCAGCTTGTCAAGGGTAGTCACATTGATGACGGAGCGAGAGGGTAATCAAAGACAAAGAGGTGGACGAAGACAGCATGAGGGAAGTCGCACTGATCGCTTTGATGGACCGTCTCCTGCTCGGCTAAATGGTTGGCGAGATAGCGGGATGGACCTGCAGACCTAGTCCCGTGAAACATGACAACCGACACCATGGCTGCTTGAATCTGCCGCTAGAACTCTAAGATCTTCCACTGGTGATGCAGCGGCGCGGGTTCAAAGGCCGAGAGCTGCTGGGGGACGCTTGCCAAGTCGAGCCCATACATATGCTTATGCCGGTAAATATGTGACAGGGGAGCTTCCCATCACCGCGATACATAGCGTCTGGGTAGATCTTCTGCTCATTGAGATTGGGATTACATATTCATATGGCCTTAGGCGCGGAGTAGAGGAGGCTACTCAGGGCTAGGAGGTGATGGAGGGAGGACATCGACAGAAAGTCAGAAACACGGCCAATCAGCTCGTAAGCGCACAGAGCATAGCGCACACCCTCACACACCGCTTCCTAGACCATTTCCATCCCATCCACAAAACCTCGCAACACTTGGACGGGAGGGTGCTCTTGCAGCACTGCAGCAGCAAGAAAGTGAGGGGGGCAAGACAGCAGGGAGGGAGCTTTGTCCGCCCCGGAGCCCCCCTTTGACGTCTTTTCCCGGAGTGTGATCATTCTTTGCATCTGAAGCAAAGACCAGTTATCCTTGATGTGTCACGATCCATGGGGCAAACACAACGAACGGGTCCCCTGGGGGGAAGGTTGATAACGTTGTTTCCTCCCACCTCGCTTGTGAAGCATCTCCAACGCCGTCCCCACTACCACCGAACTCGAACATCAACGAATACAAGGGGTTGTTGGATTTCTCTTTTTCAACACTCGTTCTCGGGAACTTCTTCGAGGTACATGCGCGCTCGGTGAGGCGACTTGGCGACCTTGGCTCCTTGCCCCCCAGGTACCGAAAAAACTCACGTCGATTCGGATACATACAGCTCGTGTTAGACGACCAGAGCTATATGGAGCTGTGAAAAGCCGAGGGCAGAAAAAAAGGAAAGCAGCTGATACTTCGTTTCGGATTTTCGATATGCGGCTATCAACATCGTCAGCGGCCTCTCTTGGTCTGCTATGGATCACATTTGCTCTGTCATTTGTTGGCGCCGTAGCAGCAGCTGGGGAAGAGTATTATTTCGCTGGAGAACGCGTTCATTTGATTGCGAGGCAACAGCTACCCGATCTGAGCAATATATCAACATGTGGTGTAAGTTCGATTTGAAGTCGGGAGCCTCCTTTGGCTCGGTTGCTTTTCCGAAATGGAACCCACTTTGGCTAACACTCTGGTGCCCAGTTGAACTGCCTCGTACAGGGTATCGCAGGGGTCGGATGCGACCTCACGAACACAACTTGCTCTTGTGCGAGCACCGGTCTGGGTCAGCTCGTCGGCCCTTGTTTGATAGCAAACTGCACCATGCAAGACTCCCTGGGTGAGTACTTCCAGAGTCGTGATGATGGTGCAGAAAAGATGGGAAGACTGACGAGGCAACAAGATGTCGCGAAACTGCAACAAACGCAGTGCAATCTCCCTCACGAATCCGACACTGGCAAAATTCTTGCCATTCTAATCACCGTCTATGTCACGGCTGTCGTTGCGATTGTCTTGCGGCTTCTTGCCAAAAACATGGCAAAGACGTGGAGTCTAGACGATGCGTTGATTATTGCGGCGATTGTCATTGCGATTGCCCCAGTATCTGCAATTTTGTTGAGTAAGCTTTTTGTTGTCTTGCGGCCGGCTTGGATATGTAACTAATTGTCAACAGTGTCAAGCTTAGGATTTGGGAAGCACCTTTACGATCTTAAACCGGGTGGCTTACTGCAGATCCTGCGACTACGTAAGTACATTCCGTTCGTATTGAAGCCATCTTCTCTAATGCTTTTGCAGTATACGCCGCCGAGATTGTGTACGTCTTTGTACTCTTATTCGCGAAGCTGTCCCTCGTCGTCTTCTATCTACGAATCTTCACCGTACCGAAGTTCCGCATCGCTGCATACACCCTGATCGGATTCCTTATCGTCGGCCAGGTGGTCATCGGCTTTCTCACTATCTTCTCGTGTCACCCGATCGAGCTATTCTGGAACAAGGACATCCACACAGGCGCCTGCCTCGATGTCAACCAACTTGCCTACGCGAACTCTGCCTTGGCCATCATCCAGGACCTTCTTATTCTCGCCCTCCCGATAGCGATGCTTCCAGGCCTTCAAATGAACCGGAACAAGAAGGTTTCAGTTGCCATGGTATTTCTTCTCGGATCTGTCGGCTTCGTCTCGACCATTATCCGTCTTCAGGTTCTCGCAGTGTTTGGAAACTCCATCGACCCGACGTGGGACTACGCGCCCGTTGTGTGGTGGACGACAATCGAACTAGGTGTCGTCGTGGTGTGCGCCTGTGCGCCCATGATCCGCAACTTGGTCGAGAAGAAGTTCCCCGGCTTTGCGCTCTTCGCGAGGTGGACCACCCCGAAGCCATCCAAGGGCAGCAGCCCATCCTCGAACGGCAGCGTGGACAAGCCGACAAAGGCTGCTGGGCGATATCAGAAGTTCGGGCGGAGTAACAGCCCGCCTCAATTTAGCGACAATTATGTTCGCGATTACATCACGAGTCCCAAAGGCCCTCCAGTACCCCCAAAGGACGATCTGCCGCCATCTCGTAGGTACCGGGACATGTACGCCTACGGTGGATCCAAGCCCAAGGTGCTTGAGCCCTCGTCGCCGTCCCCTCAGCCGTATGACCTCTCGTGGAGATCCATGAACCCTTATGGGATTCCTAAAGATGACCTGGAATCATGTATTGGAAAGACGAACTATAATCTTGATATTGAGATGCTGGAAAGGAAAGGGAGAGATGTGGTAGTGGCACAAAAGGAGCTTTGCTCTCTCTGCGGGAGGGAAAGCTGCAGTCACATGTAACAGAGCTATTTTCCGTCCGTTTTATAGATATCCATTTGCTTAGATACCAATTGTTGCTCGATCGCCTCAATAATCATGCCTCGTTCACTCTCAATGTTCCACCCGATGATGCTTCCGGAAGAACCCATATTTCAGCCGGGCGTGGTCCCGGAGCGCCCCGGAACGGTCCGATCATGTCAATGAATGTTCAGCTGGTCAGCCACCTTATTCGCGTGCAGCCCAAGTAAGCCACAAGACTCACAGATACGGACCGCATCCATCGTAATCTTCTTATCACGGACAGATTGATGATTGCAACGTCAGCAGATAGAGCCCATGGCTTTCCGCCTCAATTCCTATCTGCTTGCCGAAGACCTCACTACCCCGGTCTCCATTCTCTTAAAGCCCAACTAATGCCGCAGAAAATGCACGATGCGAGTACTGCATAGCCTTACTACAAACAACGCGTGGGAAAGTCTACATCGTTCGTCTGCTTTGACATCGACACACAAACAATGCACAAGCATTGACCGAGTTTCGCCACCTCCCGCAGCTGCTTTGCACCTCCAACTCACTATTCCGAATCTGGAGCTCTCCGAAGGTTCAACTGTCCCAATCTGGATACAAGCCCGCGTCGCAGCTTCGCCTCACAGCTCTTTTGCGCGACACGATGCGCGCATTCTCACTCTCGTTGAGCCTGTTCAAGGCACCGCTCGGTCTTGTAGCCCTGTTACTGGTCGCCTCGGTCGTGGGACATGGCGATGGTGATCTTCAACGTTACATGGCCCTGGAAACCTGCCCGCCGCTGAAGATTGTCAATGGGATCAACTTCACCACGCGGGCGTACTGGATGCGCCAGGCCAACCTGGCCCTGCCCAACCCATGCCCGTTCGCGGCCTTTGGCTCAGTGATTGTGAATCACACTACGGGCGGCTTGGGGGAACTGGTCTGCACCGGCGCGAACAACAATGCTGGCACAGGCAACCCGACTCTGCATGGTATGAATCTCACCTCACACAACCCAACAAAGCTTTTTCTTTTGCAAGGGTAGTTTGCTAATCATTAAACAGGGGAGATGGCCGCCATCGACAACTGCTCGGCAATCTTTGTAGATCCCCAGGGTCCATACCGGATGACGCCGGCTCAGGCCCTGGCCGCCTTTGCCAACCTGACCATCTACACCAACGCCGAGAGCTGCCCCATGTGCGCGTCGGCGGTGCGCTGGGCAGGCTTCAGGGAATACGTTTTTGGCACGAGCATCGAGACCCTCACGGAGGAGGGATGGGGCCAGATCCAAATCACGTCCAGGGACGTCTTCCGGCAGTCCTCGGGCTTACCCCGCCGAACAAGGTTGCTTGGTCCGGTCTTGACGAACGAGACAGACCCCTTCTTTAGTTGGCAGTTTAATGCGGGTGCGCCCTGTCCGCAAGGCTGCTCTCGGGGCGGAAGTGCAGGCGGTTGTGTTCCTGCATGATGGGGTCGGTCGAGGTGCACTTGGTTTGGGTTGAATTAGGTTGCGGTTCTGCTCTCAAGAACCCCTTCAACTGAAGCAACTTTCGCCAGGCTTGTTGCAAGTGGGTTTTCTAGTCTATTGGTTTCATCACAATTATCATCAACAGCATCTGGGTGCCGATCGCTAGAGGTTGCTTCCTCTTTCGTTCCTAAAGTGGGAACTCCGAGCCGAGCTCATTTGCCGAGATTGTCAGACAAGGACATAGAATCCCGTTCGGAGACCTGTGATACAAGAGCATCATTGAAAGATGATTAAACTCAGCATAAGGAGTCTAGTTGCAGAAAAAACAAGAATGGAACATCAGATTACTGGGTCGGACACGAGATGTCTGCGCCAACAAAAATCAAAAGAAACTCGCCTTCACCCAGGAACGTCTTGAGATGTACGCCCGTGTGACCACAATGATACACTTGACCCCCACCTGATTTGAACAGATAACCTTTCGATGGCATCTCGAGGAATCTCGATCTGGAGTCGAACGCGCTACCGTTGCGCCAGAGGGCCGATGAAAATATTACTTATTATCGTGAGCTCAAGTGGGCAGTTGCCGTGGGCCTCGTCTATCCAGGCGAGGGCTAGACCCGCTCTATCTTGTCATAATGGGGCAGAGTCGTCGACAGCGGTGGAGCTCATCTGCGACTTGCTTCACAGAGCGAGGCAGCTTCTTCATGGAGGACTTGTCTGCGATGTGGCTGATAATTAGGTGCCTACGCTTGCGTTGGCTACAGGCAGTTGCGTTCATGTGGGCAACAAATATCGACTTAAAAAACTTGCCGAGACAGTCAGACTAAGTTTTATTTTTGCAAGAGAGGCTATCACATGCGAGCCAGATGGTTTGTGGGAAGACTACAACGATACGATAAGTCGGGCAATATTTTTTTGTCTTGAGAAATTTGGAGTAGCCCTAGCAGGTGAAGCCAAGAGAGCTTATGTGCTCTGCTGAAGGGACAATTTCTCATGTGGAAACATCCTCAGTGGTTGGGCTTCTCTTATCCATTAGCATATGACTGACGCGTATTTATTCAATGGCTTATTCTCCAGCTCTATCTACTTGCCTCACATTACTGAGCACAGATCCCCCCAATCAGTCCGTTGATCTACGAAAATGGAAAACACAGGTTGCCCTTCTAACATCCTCGTCTCCATCCCCAAGCTTAACACCACCGGTCTATCCTCAACCCGCCTACTCATACCAAACGTAATCCTCGTTTTCATAACCCCACGCTCGCTGCCAAGCTTGCGCAACTTCATCAAATCACCGCTCATTGCAGTTTGGAAAATGTGCTTCGTCTCATTTTTGTTAGCTGCAAGACACACCCAAGGATTCGCACCACCGCCAGTAAAACCACACGCGACGATAAAGTTCTGGTCAGCCGCGCCAGACGTTCGGTACTGAACGAATCCGTCAAACGTTTCCAGTCCCTGAGTGATAAACATGCGTCGGGACGAGCTCCACATGCCGTCGGGCTGGGCCTTGACAAACTCCACCCCTGGCGGCGTGGGCGGGAAGCAGAAGGCGTTCCGGTAGATGGAGTCCATGTCCCCGACGAGCGTCTCTGCCACGTCTGGCTCGAGGAATTTGCTGATGAACATCGTGTGTTTGATGCCCGGTGCGCTGTGCTCCAAACTCCAGAGCCGGCCGGTCTTCCAGCGGAGGAAGACGTTTCCACCTTGATCTCTGAGAAGAATTCCGAGGTGACGACGGCCTTGATCGCTAGATCTATGGCAACGGAGACTTAGGAAATGCGCACCGTCGGGCATGAGACTGGTTTCGGTCGTGATTTTCAAGCCTTTATTTGTGATGGCGTACTTGAGAAATTGGTGTCAGCTCTTCGAACGTTACACAGCTGACTTGATTCAGCTGAAAACTCGGGGGCAGGTCTCGAGACATACCTCGGGGTTGTACTTGATGTCGCTGCTGAGTACGATATCATTCGCTGTCTCAAAAGCCGATGGAGACATAGCCAGAATCCCAAAATAGCCCAATGGAGATTCTGCTGGTGCAGACCAAGCAAAGATGGACAAGTCGTTGGTCTCCTTGATGATCTCTTCCTGCAGTCGGATGAACGCTCTGTTTCCCTCCCCATACAGAAGCGGCATCTTGACTCCAAAAACTCCCAAGAGACAGTACGCCAAATCTTCTTCCCTTTTGGTCATGCGCCCAGATGCCCAAGACATTCTTCTGGCAACAGGTATTGTCGTCAAAAGGCCTTCCACTCTCCCGCTTCCTGCCACGAGTATGCTCTTGTCAATGTTTGTGCGCTGTTGGATGATGTCGCACAGATCGGATCGACTTCCAATGTAGTTCCAGTCCTTATCGAAGAATTCAACTCGCGAGGGGGCGATGAGCTCCTGCAAAGTCCATCCACGAGTGAACCATTGGGAATGTTGAAGTGAAACTCCGTCGATGCCCACATCCGACAAGTACGCATAGCAGATTGAAGATCGCGCGTACCACTTGAACATGGAATTGATGGCTTCCGTCAGCTCTGTGAAATCCTGTTTGTTGATGCAACAAGTATCAACCCATGCATATTTGTAACCTTGCTGCAATGCAAGTCGACAGAAATGCTGAATCTTTTTCCATCCTTTCTTGCGCGCTATCACATCAGGCTTTCCAAAATCTTGGTAGGTTGCCTCTTGATGATCGGCTTCCCATCGGTGGGAAAGGATGGCATACGATTCAGGTATAGACAGCCCCGAGAACTCCTCAATCAGTAGGCTAGAGCAATTAAGAAGCTTCATGGCGATGGGGGCACTGAGGGAATGAAGCTGGAGCGATTGGAGAAATTGAAGAGAATCGCGAAAGAAGACGACATATCAGCCCCAAATCTTACGCACATATCAACTAGTCTTCTCTAGGAAGATCATCGTTGCAGCTCAACATAAGCTTGGAAAACTGGCACCAGGCAGCCGCCCCATGGTAAGATGCCTCGTAATCCATTGGACCATTGATGACCATAAGTGGGGCTTGAGGCTCACAAACACAAAGGTAACTGGCGAGACTATTCTATTCATTTGCCTGGGCTTTAGCTTCTTGATGTACGAAAAAGAAACCATACCCATGTTGTGACCATGGCTGTAGTTGCCTCGCAAAGTGAGCACGCCAAGATATCAATGTAAGGTACTTTGATGCCCATTCTGTTTCTCTCACATGTATCTTGGTCAGTGGTACACCAAGTTGAAAGCACGGCGATGTACAAAAATGTTATTTCTTCGGCCTATGATGGAATGAATGTCTTACAAGAACCTTTCTTCGCCCGAGAAACTGATTCTCCTAGTCATCGTATGGATCGCTCTTTCCATGCTTATGGCTCTCTTTTGTCTCGCCGTAAGGGTCTTTGGATGTACTCGAGCTCGCGCTTTTGTGCTTCGCGCCCGTCTTCTCGGCCGTGATACTCTGACCTTGGTGTTTATGAGGCTTCGCGATGTGAAGCTCGTCGGAGTGAAGCGCGACACCAGCCTCGGCGGCAATGTGATCGAGAGGATCCCTCATCAAGAACATGGTCATGCAATGATTGATGTGCATGAGAGTGTCGTAGCGTTTCTCAATGACAAGCATGCCGTCCTTGCCGCAAGATGCGCCCGCGACTCCCCGAGAACAGCGCGCTGCCTCCCACATCTTGCGCCAGTAGAACACGCAATGCACGAGATGCCATTGGTGCGTGGTAAAGAATCGAGCATATTGACCATGGCGGGCCGCCTCTGGTAGTTGGCTCACTTCCTCCAGTGTCATGGGATGCGTCTGGTTCTTGTCATGCCAGTAACCCCAGGTGTTGCCTGTTGTGTCGGGTTCGTTTGGGCCCAGAGACTCGAACTCTGCCGTTAACTCAGGAGACCGACAGTGTGGTGGAAGCCAGGCGGCGGCAAGTGAATCGTACACGCAGCCATTCGCGCGGGCTTCTGCGATTGTTTCACCACAGTTGCAAGACATGGGCTGCATTTGAGAGTTGGATGGGGAGTCTGATGTGAGGAGAGAGTAAAGACCAAAGGCCGCCAATGACACTGTCAACAGACGACCTGCGCATAACACGGCTTGTCCAAAAACATGAAATTTGCCTCTTGCTGAGACTTGAATTCCATCTTCAACATGTGGCTCGGTATTTTCGTCTCCTGGAAGCCAAGCGTACTCCCTTTTGTCTCTGTTTGTCCATGGTACAGTAAAGATTTCGAGACTAAAGTCCGGAATTGTTAGCACAGTAGCTTCTACCCTCGTGATGCGCTTACATTTTGGACATTCTTGATATACACCGTTGCTGCTCAGTGTAGCTTTCTAAACATGTCCGACATCGATGAGCTTCTCAAGAAAGTCGTATGTTCTTGCTAACATGTGGAGGAAAGCAGAATTAAGTCAGACGACAGGAATGTAAGGGCTACGGGCAGGAACACCGCTCGCAGTTCCCCGTAACTCTCTACAAGAGCTAGGGTATCGCGCTCAGATTAGATTTTGTATGCCATGTACAAATTCAGAAGGCGTTGCATATCTGACGCAATCCTATATCGACGCTAGGAAACATGATTTAGCGGAAGTCCGAAGGATTCGAAGGAAGAGCACAGCTTATCGACCCCGCGGAATCGCTACATAATGTGCTTGACTTCGCCTTAAACCCCGCCTGTACCCTAAGCCCAAAACAGAAGCTCGAATGATGCGATCTACAACGTCACGGCCCGGTAGCGGGCCGTTTGTGGGCGAGATGCGGGCTGACGCTGCGTTTATGCGGCACTTTTGTTGCTGTCCACTTACACCTATCCTACGCAATACGCTGTCGCATTCGCAAGTTACGGCTCGAAAGTAACTTAAGATTCGCTTCACTCATCATTGAAGATTTTGCCAAGCTTCCTTCAGGATGCATTTGCTCAAACGATGGTACGGAAGGGGAATCTCGTATTCCTGATCTGAATGATGCTTTATGATAGCACCCATCCGGACAAAGACTGTGATCAGAAAGGCTCAGCGTTCAAGCTTTGCCTGCATGCGGATGCCTAGCCAACGAAGAGGAACGAGCGTCCGGCACGACTGCGTGGTAATTAGTAGAATCAATTCGCCTGATATCAACCATCCTTGGCTGCTCTCGAGTGAGCGAACAAATACCAAAAAAGAAAACGATTTGGGCTGGATACATCACTTTCTGAGACGCGGTCACCAGGTGAGCATTCTAGTTGCAACAAGTAGTAATGAGCGTATTCTAGCAACCAGACTTAACCCTTCCAGCTCCAGATTCTTACTCTACAGGTCCACCCCACTCTTCAACGTCGAAGCCATGATACATGAAGGTTTCTGACTCGAGACCTACTACATGTCCCCCGTGTTCCAGATCTGTACTTCCAGGAATATGGTACTTAGAGCATGCCACAACGATCGCCTGTTTAAGGGTAGAAGGGAATTGCCTCAGCTTCCGCATCAGCGGCGCGCTTTGGGTAGAAAGGGATGGCCTCGGCCTCAGCCTCCGCGCCCCTCTTAGGATAGAATGGAATGGCTTCAGCTTCGGCATCAGCACCTCTCTTGGGGTAGAAAGGGATCGCTTCAGCCTCCGCATCTGCTCCTCGCTTAGGGTAAAAGGGAATTGCCTCGGCTTCAGCGTCGGCTCCGCGCTTGGGGTAGAAGGGAATAGCCTCCGCCTCTGCATCAGCTCCCCTCTTTGGGTAGAAAGGAATAGCTTCAGCATCGGCATCTGCTCCTCTGACATCTTGAAGAGGTAGCTCAAGTCAGTCGTCTTCTTACTAGTTACTTAGGTAGTTTGTTGAAGCGCTTGCTGTCTTCCAAGATCACATACCGAGAGGGGCGGCAGCCACGAGGCCAATTGCAGCAAGAATGAGGTACTGAGCACGCATTGTGACTTTCTACTGGGCGTGATTGATAAGAGAGACGTTGGTAGGACTTGGAGATGGCTAGTTCAAGAGAAAGTCTGGAGGCCGTTCTCTGTATATGGTATTTGAAGAAAAGTCGCCTTTGACCTAATTGACGCCTAAATCACGCATCATCTGAGATAAGTCGAAGCTGTGTCCTCCTTGTACGGACTTTAGCCGCCAGTGACGAAAACTTGCCTGGAAGCACGAAGAAGTCGGGCGGGATCACGTCAGTCCGGACGCTCGATTACCACTTACACGTACGGAATCTCGGTCTCCTGCAGCTGCAGCCAAAAGGTTACAAAGATGTTGACAACCGGGTAGAGACTGTTACAAACGAGGAAGGTTGCATCAGATGCTTCGAGATGGGCAATGGAGTTGACGACATATAGATCAATTACCTAGACGTTTCACCGACATGCCAAGCCAGACGACGGATTCGAAGGATCTCTCTGCGTCATGTAGTGGAGTTGTAGGAGTTGATAGTCGCAGTCCCGCTCGCCTCCTCTTATCTTTCAGGCAGGTACTTAGACATCCAAGCTTTCGAGTGCAATGGGGAGGGTGTTTACCTCACATGAATTGATTGGGCAAGCTGATTTTACTCAATCGCTTGCTTATGCTGACTACCTTGAACGAAGCGATGACACCTTCCCTCCGTTCTATAGCAGACTCCCTTCACTTCTGTGGCCTACTTGCTAGACTTCCTATCTTCTCGCACATGAGTTGTTGAAATACAGGACCATGATGAATGAAATGTACCGATCATCAACAGGCTCATCGGAAGCTTCACATACAGAAGATGGTCTCTCGGGATGTTTCGAAGAGAATGAGGACCCCGAAAAGACTCTACTGCCTCACATGGACACCAAGGCAGGATCTCGAAGTGTTAGGAAGGATACTTCATTGTTGAAGCTCTGCAGTAAAAGGCTATTTCTAGTGACTTTCCTCAACATTTCACTCTTTGTCGCCTCTTTCACTTTGTGGCTATGGCCTGCACCGTTGAGGCATCCTATGAAGACCCAGGACTCTTGGAAAAGAACCTCCTTTTACTGTGAGTACCCAAGCTGTCAAAAGCCTTTCAGCCCGATATGCTAAGTAGACGTTCAAGCACCGATACTTGAGCGCTTCGATATACCAAAAATCAGCAGAGTGACGAACGGCACTTTATATGACACGAATCCGCCGTCAGTCTTTCGCCAGCGAATTGGTAAAGAAGCCGATAGGGAGTGGCATCGTATCGGTGACCATGTCTGGCCTCTCGTCATTGGGGAAGCGGATGTGAGGCAACTTGGAAAGGACCCACGAGTCGCTGTCAAGATTCCAGAAGATCTTGGCTACGGTTCAGATGCATATATTGCGCAAACAGAAGTTTTCCATCACCTCCACTGCTTGGATATGTTGCGCAGGGAGGTATCATACGAGCATTGTAAGTTTCTCGGTATGGAGTGAGTACGCACTTCTGACTCCTAAGTATAGACTATGAGCCCAAGGAGGGACCTAGGCCAGGAGGAGCTCAACATCAAGCCCACATCGGCCACTGTTTCGATATCCTTGCCCAAGCAATCAAGTGCACCGGGTCGGTGGACATGATAACTTTCAACTGGGTTGAAAATTGGGAGCAACCATTCCCAGATTTTATGAATCACAAAGTGTGCCGTGACTTTGACGCCTTATTGGGCTGGGTCAATGAGAACTCCATGGACCCGAAGGTCTTTCAACAAATGAAAGTGCCTCCGCCTGGGTGGCCTGTCATGCCAGAGCCAGGCCCGGCATCGTGATAATTCTGAGGTGGCGAAGGACTCTTGGGAATCATTGTATACAGTCACATAGTAAAACACCAAGGAATATTTTGATGATAGTCTTGTTGCAGTATGGTTTGCTGTGGTCAACTCGGGCTTTGTTTACATCCGATCCTAGCCGCTTTCTGCTCATTGTGTCGGCGCACGTGAGAATCGATTTGATTGCGTGATTAAGCGGCTAATGCTCCGCACTTTGGCCTCGAGCCATCCCGTCGGCTAGGCTTGAATCATGAACTTGTCAAGCTTATGAAGGAACAACATTAGCCATCAGCAAGAACATCTCGCAGCGCCTCATCATGACCATGGTTACCCAATCTACGCCTCCGACCCCGCAGACGGATCTGAAGACGGTGGTCGAAGCTCGGACTCGGGAATGGCATTTCCACATTTACTTCCTCCTACAGTCCCCGGCTGAGACTTCTGCTGCCCTTGCTCTTCGTGATGCTGTTTTGAGATTGCGACGCGACGGTAGGTTTGAAAGACGACTCTCACCTGGACGAGATTGTTTGAATCATTGCTGATACCCACGGTTAGGCGCGTTCGTTGCTGTCCCACTATTCAGGGTCAACGAATTTCCTATCGGACCACACCCAGCGGGATCTTATGAGAGTGAGTAGTGCCAAAGTTCATCTGCATGTAGGTATGAGACAAAGAGCTCGATTGACCAAAAGTTCGCATGTAGTCTGGGTTCCCGACTCCTCGTTTTCTGACGTCTTTTTCTACTTGGCGGCAAACCGAGGTAACTTAAGGTAAGACCAGAATCAGTAATTGCTTTCAGTAGTCATGCTGTCTTGATGCTTACATGTGCTCAAAACTTAGTGTCCTCGTACACCCATTGACATCGAGTCAACGTCGAGATCATGAGACAAGGAATGCCTGGATGGGTACTCCGTGGCCTATTTACCTTGACAGCTTGCCATCCGATGGCGATGTTCCTCTTCAATATCCCGAACTGGGTCTTGGTTGGTCCACTTCGCCGGAGCAGGAGATATCCTTGGAGGAAAGGTTGAGAAGGGGTGCAAAGGTTGAGGCTCTGTTAGCTGATGACCCAGAGGCTGCGCCTGCGCCTAAGGATTGAGAGTTTCTCAGCTCCGACAGTGCGCCCCAATTACAATGCTAAGGTAACCTGATACCGTTCGGATTTCGCCTCACTGAAGTATGAGAAACTTCCAAGCGATGTCGCTTCGTGATGTGGGTTGTGGATTGTAAGAACCTCGGAGCACGTGTGACATAGAAAAGTAATCAAATACAAGCCATTGATGATTGTCTTCGAAAGCCATGAGCCGTGTACGAATCCGCCGCACTTCCAGTCCGTCATACCTATCGCTCGGACACGCCGGCCACGGTCAGCTAGGACGTATGGCAGGACCAATGAGTTGTCAACTTGTCCACTGCTGTTAGATGAATTAGTGGATTGCTCTCAGTCTGCTGCCCGAATTGTGCGACTATCAACTGTCAAGTTCGGATAGCATCTCGACCAAAAGGAAGTACACAGGCGAGTCGCAGAGTTTGCCTTGTTACAGAGATGTTTGCTCAAGTCTGCTGTTCTTGTAGCACGTCGCGTGGGACGAGATGGCATATGTCCAGTACGCACACTATATATTACGCCATCCCGCGAACTATGTGATGTTCGCGATAGTCTTCAACGAATCTTGCCTACTTTGGATGACTTTTCTTAGAATTCGTAACATTCACCAGAAGCACATCCATGAGAAATCGAGTAAGTCTCCGCCTTGACTTAGAATAGAATGACATTTATCTTGAATTGACTGACTCTAAACCCGCCAGACAACTATACAATAACAATAACGTCTCTAAACATGAAAAGCGCCGTAATCATTGTCGCCGTGGTACTCACCCAAACGTCATTGGCCGCCTTTTGTGCAGCGTCCGCATATCTTGGGGCAGGACGACCTGGTAGCTGTACCGGACAAAATCTGGGCCATGGGAATTCGTCTCGACCAGGGGTTAGCGAGTGCTTCGAGGCAATCAATGGTGCTTGTGGGCTGGTAACAGATCGAACAGCTGGGGGAGGTTGTAATTGCACTATCAATTTCTTCTCTGGAGGGGATTGCAATCGCACTTCCGTGGGGTCTTTGCGCTGTAACAGGGTTGGTGCATCACTGCAAGTCAACTTTGACCACTTCAATATTCGCTGCCCCAGGGATTGAAGTGCAGAAAAGAGAATTTACTACGATTGCCTACACTAATTGAGTTGACTAGATTCCAGCCTAATCTGAACTTGATCTCACCATAAGTACATTAACGGAGTAGGTAGGGCATACCTACCTTACCGTTGGGAGGAGGTTGTAATCGTTCTATCAGAATCAGTGCTTAATAACGCAAACATCATATTCAAATTGAAATCGTTTTGAGTGCGCGACCATAGAATGCGGTCTTCGGCGGGTGGCCTTCGGCGGCTGCAGTGGCCGGACATCACCAGTAGCGCTGCCCAGGGCCCAGCTCCAGGCCCGTGTGCGCCTGGATGCAGCGCCTCTACTAACCTTCTCACTGTTTTCCCATTAGTTTTAGATGGATCAGATGGTCAAAGAGAGAACCGACATGCAGAGAAGAGCGAATAAACCCAAGCGAAATATACACTTTAGGAAGAATACAGGGTTAATATTTTCATGCACGCTGCGTTTACTTCTTGTGTCTGTACGCTAGGAGTTGAGGTATAATAGTAGAGTGAACAATAGTGTAGAAACATCCCCTCCAAGAGGGTCGCCATAGAGTTCCTCATTTACAGTGATAGTCCCCATCTGAGAGTGACACCTGCTCACCAGGGATACCTCCGGACTTCGTCTTCTTTGCTCAAGTCCAGACCTCTGTCCAGCTGTTTCTGATGTTCATTATCGAGGTACTCTAGCAATACCTTCTCATACATTTCACGCCCCTTGTAGTTTGCAACTGTATCATCCCAGCTACGAACAGCACTAGCGAGTCTTCCGGGCACATAGTCCTCCGCAGCCAGCTCAGTGACTGGATGAAAGTACGTTCTTATCGTGAAGACAATAGCCTTGCTCTTGGGAAGACGGCGCAGCGATTGCCTCTCGGAACGAAAATAGTGATGCTCAACCGCTCTATCTTTCTCAGCCGTACTCCAACTGACAACTGGGCTGTCTTCTTCACCAATGCTCCAGCTCCAGGGCAAGGAGTCATCGACCTGGATGAAGTAGTTGTTGC